GATGCATGGGAAATTTGGGATAAAGCCTATTTAAACTCATTTCAATAGATGGTTTGGACTATCTGGCCTCAATTTGTAGCCTAATATCTCAGGAAAAACCTGGAGAACCACCCCACAAAAAATGGCACCCAATGGACGAGTATTGCAGCCTGCAGAAATAATTTTTATATTTTGGAAAAGGACCCCAGACACCCTATGTCAGCTTTGGTATGATGGTATGAAGACATCATACCATCTGGTATGGTATGGTGACATGGTATTGGTATGGTATGGTAACATGGTATTGGTATGAGTGGGGTATGGTATGGGTTTTCCATTCCATGGTACCATGGTATTGGTATGGAGCTCATATACCACCCTGGAATGGGTACCCTCAAGGTACCCTAAATCAAGGAATTGATGTACCTCATAGGTACCCAAAAATGGGTGACTGAAGTGCATCTCTCGCAGTGGACTTGAATATGCTCGAGTTTGTAAATGAGCTGTTTGTAAATGCAGCTCCAAATACTACAGCTTGGTGTGAAACCTTGGAGACCTTTCTTGGAAACAGAAGATACAAGTTAACAACTTGGGTATGTTTTATTTGTTTTCTGTCAATGTTTTTTCCTTGCTCAAAAGTTCTTTTACTTTAGAATAGTTTGTGTCGTCGTTTTGGAAGTGCTATACAGTGGTGTGCGACTTTGATTGACAAGAAGAACCTTCTTGTCAACAATTATCTGGATGATATGAGAAGTTCAATCAAAGTTTCAGATATTTCTTGCCTATGACAATGTTTCTTGGAACTAAAAACTTTTCAAACAGAAGACCATGATATTGAGCAAGGTATTTCTTTTTCTGGCTCAGTCAAGATATATTTCTGCTGCAACTCAAACATTTTTTCACAAATGAAGAAATGGACCAAGGTTTTTTTTTTTTAATCAGAAAGATTTGTGTAATTCTAACTTTTTTTGAACAGATAAGGATGTTGGAATGGAACAAGGTTTGATTTGTTGCATTTGAGAGAAGAAATCTTTCAATTTACAATAAAACTTTTTTTGCAGATGAAAACATTGAAATGGCTGATGGTATTTATTTTTCTTTTAAGTGAAAAGTTCTTATGCTAATTCTTTTTTTGTGTAACACAGATAATATTGATCAAGGTGTTTTTTTTCCTTTGGGCTCAGAAAACATTTCATGTCTAACTCTTTTCACATTTTTTAGAAGATAATATTGAAATTGGTATGTGGTTTTTTGTCCAGTGAAAGGAATGTACTGGAGCAAATGTTTAGATGAGGATATGCACACTGCTGCACCAAACTTGGAAAGACCAAGTGACTATCTGAGAGGACGGTCTCCTTTGTGCTTTGGTGGAAAAGATTGGTCAAAGCCTGATGATTTGTATGTGGAGTTTTTGGCCAACACTATTATTGTGATCTCAACTTTTTTTTTGTAAGGGTTGATTTCATTGTATGCTTGTATGCTTGTTTCAAGCAAAAGTCGCGAAAGGCTCAGGGTAAAGAGCCACCTGCCCCTCGGAAGCATCCGGATACAGCATTCATCTCTTCAGAAGATGTCAAGGCAATGGAGGATATAGTCAATGAAATCCGCCCAGAGCCCAAATCTGGTT